ATGAGGAGTGCCGCCCCACCCTGCCCTGTTGCTGGCAAGATCTTCCCACCTCAGGTGGCTGCCTCATTTTGCCTCATGGTTGGGCCGGGACTTAACACCACCCAAGCACTCATATATTATTATTATTATTATTATTATTATTATTATTATTATTATTATTATTATTATTATTACATTTATATACCACTTTTTCTTCCAGGGAGCTCAAGGTGGTGTACACAACAACCCTGTGAGATAGATTAGGCTAAGAGATGGTGACTGGCCCACAGTCACCCAGTGAGCTTCATGGCTGAGTGGGGATTTTAACGCAGGTCTCCCAGGACACAGTCTAGCACTCTAACCATTACACCACATTGTTCCAGCAGCTCTTTCTGCCCAGCACTGGGGATTTTGAGCTGGAGCTGCTGGAACCATATTCCAGCCTCAGCTGACCCCTACCAACTCCTTTTCCTCCAAAGGTCTCCATGAGAGGAGGGTCTCACTTCCCAGGACCCCTTAAAACCCAAATAGTCCTTGCTTGTGGTCAGGTGCTTCTCTGGGTTTCCATCTGTCTTTCCCTTGGGCTGTTTGGCCTCAATGTCACTCTGGGTGCAGATCACCCCTCCATGGCATCGCCGCAGAATCCCGACTCCTCACCCCCATATGAAGCCTGATCCAGGGCTTGGTGTAAGGCTGGGGTCTCCAGGTCCTCCTCTGATGAAGAATGCCCTGGCTGTGACACAACATTGATGGACCATTAGTCTAATGCAGAATTACAGGTGTAAGAAGGCATCTGTTTTCTTTGCAACTTATGTTTGCTGCATGCAGTGCTGTTTCCATTCTGCTGCATGCAGTGCTGTTAACAACAACAACAACAACAACAACAACAACAACAACAACAACAACAACAAAGCTTATTTATCTTGTGGCATAATTTTATGAAATTAATCACATTACCATTATGTTATTCTACCCCATTCTGACCAATGGAAAGAAAACAAAATGGCAGTGGACAGGGAGGAAACATAATCAAACATGTATTGTTTGTGGGCTGAAAACAGCAACAATAGACAATACTGATCGTATTCCTGGGTTAGTTTCCATTCTGGACATGGGATGAATACATGAACACCATCTGTCTCCACATGATTTGTAACGCATGCACATTCTCTACCCTCCAGTGAGACATGCAAGAAGCATGATCAGAGTACATGGACATATTCCAGCCAGGCAAAAACACTTGGCATGCCCAATGGAACTAGTGAGGGGATTGGCCTGGAGAGAGACCCAAGAGCCAGAGAGAGGGGCCTAGAAGGCAGCATCCAGCCCTTTACTTGAGGTTCCTTGCTCTTGTTCTTGTACCATACTATCCTCCTGCTAATTTTCTTTTCTGCTTTTTGAATTCTGCACATTAATAAAGCAAATAACAAGATGGCCGCATTCTGTCCCCTTCCTATGTCCTTTTAATGATGTGTTTTAAACCACAACCCAGTTTTACCTCAGAAGCTGCCTCAGCGTTGGTCCAACTTCCGAGATGGATCTTGCTCGTTATCAGGCCATCCGCCACATCCTAATTGGAGGTGCCTGTGTGTGTTTTTGTTTAATCCTCTTTTCTTTCAACAGCGCAGTAAAAAGTATCTTAAATACGGTTTCCAAACCACAGGTGGCCACTTCCCTGCATTCCCTTTCATAAATCGCAGCGATTCGTCTCTTTTTCGTATTGCCATTCCCCACTTACTGTGCTCTTAACTGTTCTCTCAGTGGAGACAAGTTCAAACAATTCATGACTCACACTGAAAATCCGGCACTCGTTTGATAATATAAATATGTGGAGCATCAACCACAGGCAGATCACTGCCTCATGGCAAATATCCCAAATGTAACCCATCTTGTGCACAGATAAAAGCAGGCTTCCTCAACCTCAGCCCTCCAGATGTTTTGAGACTACAATTCCCAGCATCCCTGACCACTGGTCCTGCTAGCTAGGGATCATGGGAGTTGTAGGATAAAAACATCTGGAGGGCCGAGGTTGAGGAAGCCTGGATAAAAGGATTGATCTTCAGTGATTCAGCAATGTCTTGTAGGAATAATAATAATTAAAAAAAAATACTCTGCCCATCTGTCTGGGTTTCCCCAGCCACTCTGAGCAGCTCTCAACAGAACATTAAAAACATGATAAAAGAGCAAACATTAAAAACTTCCCTAAACAGGGCTGCTAACTTCCCTAAACAGGTCTGCTTATAAGCCTCATGTGAGTGCCCAAACCTTTCCCCTTGGACTGAATCAGAAACATGTCACAAGTTCCACAAAGAAACCAAATAATCTTAGGACAGTAAGACCCTGAAGCAGCTTCTGAGGTAAAACCAAGTCATGGTTTCAAAACCATCATGAAAGGCCCAGGGGACAAATGCAACCCGCAAAGCCTTTCTCTCCTCAAGACACACAGCTACACAACCACTCTCCAGCCACACCTCTTGCTGACCCCACTTTTCACTCTCCTTCCGTATTTTGGCCTGGCTGGAATATGTCCCTCAACTCTGATAATGGACTGAAGGTTTTAAATAACCATATTTTCTTTTTTATGTAACCAGCAGATGGAAAATCGGAAGTTATTCTTTTGTAACTTTGGTTTCTCTTTCTCTTTTTCCTTCCTTCATTTCTAGAAATGAAACGCCAATAAAATAAGTATTGTTTTCAATTCTTTTAAACTGGTGTATATCAAGCCTGCGTTCTAACCTTGCCTCCCCACTCCGCACCCCGACTCTGTGCTACAAATTAAAATAATATATTGGTTTTATTTGTGGCACTGTTGTTGTTGCTGTCAGTGTTTTAACGTTGCAGATCGGCATGGGCTTTCCGCCTTACTCCTTGCAGATGGATGCAAGAATGTCTTTGAGTGATTAATATGTGAGATTGGCTCCTTGACAAGAGCCATGAATTACAAGACCATCTGTCAGGCAGCGAGAGTCATCTCCAAGGAACGCCCCAGGATATTTGACGTGTTCGGCACCAGCCTAGCAAAATGTATCTGAATCCTATAAACCCTGTTAACCCTAGTAATGGGCGCAGTAGGTGTTCCAGATGTTGTTAAACACAAATTATTGGATGGATTATAGTGTGTGTGTGTGTGTTTGTGTGTGTGTGTATTTCCAGAACTGGAATGAAATCAACTTTAAAAAACAAAAAAAAACCAAACCAAACCAAGATGCATTAGGCAGTGGCTAGACAACTATCTCAAGATAAACAGAGGAATGATTCATTTCCTTTATAACAGCTGATCTAATGCTTCATTTATTCAGGAAGTTGAATTTCTAGGTTCCATGCCAGTAAGATCCTCTACAACTGAGCAGAAGGACTCCATTGAGGGCACATAATGCCATGTGGAAAGAGGCTTGCCTATTCAAAACAGCCAAGGGGCAGACATTAAGTAGTAATGGTGGTCTTTTATTTATGAATCCTCTTTTACAAGCATCTCAAGGGGATTGGCAAACATACCGCAGCCAAAAATAGTTTTGGGAACAGTGCGAAAACAATAACTGAAGTTAGTTTTAAAACAATAAAGAATGGACATCCAAAGCACACCTATATGTTAGAATAGAAACTATCAGCCCAATAGAAACTCGCATGGCAATCATAGAAGCCAACTCCTAAGGGCTGAGGTCCCTTCGCCACCGCCCCAGTAAAATATTTGAGGGGATCAGGCCCCTCAAAGTTGATGGGCATTGCCACTCAAGATGGTGGGTGTGTACCATGTCATGTGATCGATTATGCAGGGTGGGGCTTACCTGTCCCCTCAACCATTAATTTATTCAAGTTGGCACCCCTAATAGCAATGCCCTCAGTTCATATTGCTTATTTCTGATATGGGGAAGTGGACTACAACTCCCATCATCCGCTTGCCATTGGCCATGCTTGTTGGGGCTTAGGATCATAGAATTGGTTTAGGCTACTCAGGCTGGCCTGCCTTGAGGGAAGGCAGAAGGGAGAGAGTCCAGGCCAACTTCTGATATTGGCCTGAGAATATTTTACAGTGTTCGTTCTAACATTTTAAATTGTAAACTGCCTTGACAGAAAGGTGGTTATATTACAGTGCATAGTTAAATAAATTATATAAAACCCCTAGTTGCTTCCCTCCTTCCCGCCCCGTCATCCAATTGTCACTGATAAAAATAAAAAAGGCAAGCCCTTGTTGCCAAAAATGCTGTGTTGATTGGAGCTGGTGACATCCTTGTACCAGCCCGTTTATATGTTGTATTGTGCTTCCATCTGGTAACTGTTGAGGGAATGTCTTTGGCTCTAACAAAAATACCCAGTCCAATTTATTCTTGTCGAGACAATTAGTCATAACAAACAATATGCCAGTCACTCTAAGCTTTTGATAAAATAGATGCATCAAGGGGGGGGATTGTTTTTATATAAATATATGAGAACAAAATAAAGGTGGTTTGATTACCATTATTACATGCATAAGGCATCCACACACACCCTTTTAATATTTGGAACTATGGGAATTAAAAGCATTTTTATGCTGACTTCAGACCCAAGACCCATTAACTCAATAGCTCTACTTTATCTCTGGCCACATGAATTCCCCCAAAGAATCTTGGGAACTGTAGTTCAGGGTGCTGAGAGTTGCTAGCAGATCCCTATCCCAGTGGAGGCTGGTCTGTTAGGGAAAGTTGGGCACTGTACCAAGCTCAGTCTACTCTCAGCCAACTACCTGCCTCCTTTCTTACTTGGAAACCAGTCTAGGGAGCACTTGATATATTTATGCAAAAGGTGTCATGGCCCTCTGTCCAGATTCCCTTAGGTGCCTGGCAACACACCTACCTCTGACACCCAAACTTGGTTGGTGTGAAACTGTTTTGAGAAGAGAATAAGAAAAAGCAGTGAAGCACAAACTGCTGTGTGCTTCTCCTGCAGACGCATTCTTGAAGTGATGAGACTTTCATTCCACTCCTGTTCAACGGCCCTCTCTGAGAAAACTTCCTGTTGCAGCACGCAAAGAATCAAGCCCAGAAGGCTTCAAACAGCTGTTTATTGTTAGTGGCAAGATTCAAATACGATCAGCTTTTTATTGGAAAAAGTGAGCACATTATTATTATTATTAGCAACTTCATAAACAAGAAAAAATCATGACATTAAAAAACTTAATTAACATCTTAACACCACTCCTCCAAATTTTAAACAATTAAATAACACTGTGCTTTTGCATCTTCCAATAAGCATCAAAACACACTTGGTCTGACAGATAACGAATAGCTATTATGGTACCACAATTGTCAGTTGTAAAGTTAAGGTTTTGTTTGCATTATTTTGCAACAAGATGCAAAACCTGAAAGAGGAATGGTTTCTTCTGGGGAGGGGGGACTTAAAGCAAGTTCTCGTTTCCACTATTTCACTACATGAATGGGGAGAGGTATCAGCTCCATGTCTCCCACCTTCGGAGTTGCTTACCAAAGATTATCATTTTGGGAAACTTCACTAGAGCCAGATTGTTACTTCTACACAACTCTAGAGGTATAGGAACACTTCCGGAGTCCAGACTGAGTGATTCTATGATTGAGAAAATTATAACCAACACCAGCCATGCCTGCAAGATGTATGGTACGTATAATACTGCAAATATGAAATCAATTTTGGAAATCAGTATGCAAAAGTTACTAGTACCTATGTTAATCATCTGTGGCACAAAGTGGACCGGATAGCTAACCTTTGTAAATGTTTACATATGTGGTCACCTGGAGGCAATCACTGCTCACCACAGGAGACTAAGGAAGTGACTGCTTTGCAAGATTATCTTATAAAGGAATTCTATATATGTTTCACTCAGATGTCCTGCCGTGTTCAGTGGGGCTTACTCCCAGGTTAAGTGTGTACAGGTAAATGCATTTGTATCCCTCGATGGTTGAGAAACAAGAGCCTGGGCTTAGATTCTAGTGCTTCGAAAATATGATGTGCAGGGTGGAGGGGTAAAAAAAGAAGAAGCCACACAGCAGTGTCCAAAATGATGTGCTTCTTTGCCTGGCTCTTCAATTTAGTCTCTCATTAGACTACGAGACTATTTGACAAACAAGCCCTCCATCCTGCAGCTTTCTCAACCCACCCATAACAACTCCTAATGATGAATTTCTGCAGAGATGGAGAGATGACTCACACTGAACGGCTGGAGAGTAAGGCATGCAAAAACAACAGCGGGAAAATGAATGTGTGCAAGGTACACACGTACACACACACACACACAGGTTTTGGTGTGTGGTCAAGCACATCTGAAAATGACCACTCTGGTCCAACATAACAAGCATCTCCTTCAGATAATTAAATCCAAGTATTCACATTCAGGCTCCCTCCGCCTGGGCAGTGGTCTCCTGGAACCCTTCTTTACATTAGTCCAAGCTTTTTCAGCCCAGGGGCCACATATCCTTCTGGGTGGCCTTCCAGGGGCCACATGCAAGTGATGGGTGGGGCCAGAGGCAAAAGTGGGTGGGGCAATGAAAACAAGTTTCTCCTTTGCACAATAGGCCAGCTTCTATGCACACACCTCTCTATCCTCCATCCACAGAATCACAGAACCGTGGGGCTGGAAGGGACCCTAAGGGTCATCTAGTCCAACCCCATGAAATGCAGGAACCACAGCACACCAAGCTAACACAACTGAGAGACAGAATCAGAGGTGAAGGACAAATTCCAAATCACTCAAGAAGGGTGTAAAGCAAGGTTCCTTGAGGCGTGTAGCTGGGGAGCAGAGTGAGACCCAAGGCCAGACAGAGAGGCCTGGGGGGGGGAAGCATTTACCCCCTAGGCCTGAGGCTCCCCTCTCCACCTTAAGTGAGCATCACATCTTCATATACACCCAAGCTGGACATGATGGAGCAAAGCCATTTGCTTACACCAGCAAAACAAAACAACCGTCTCTTCCCCAGCAGCAAAATTCAATTATAAAGTGCCAAGAATATCATAGAATTGAGTTGGAAGGGACCACGAGGTCATCTAGTCCAACCCCCTGCAATGCAGGATTATTATTATTATCGGTCTAACATGGGGCTTGAACCCACAACCCTGAAATGAAGAGTCTCGTGTTCTACCATCGGAGCTTTCCTGCCACAACACTTGTCTCAGAGCAGGAAGGCCTTCCCATTAAGAAAGTTCCAGTAAGGAGGTCCTGACCCCGGTATTAGCCAACTGAATATTGTTAATGACTTAGGAACTAATTTGCCACGTGCTCAAACTGCCCACCCCCTCGCAATGCTTTCATTTATACCTCCTTCCCAGTCCCTTCTCCAACCTCCACAAACATTTGATTTCAATTTTCCTGGCTACTGCTCCAACTATGTCTTCCAACACATTTCCTTCCCATCTCCCTTCATTTCCAAAGCCAACCGCACCTCCCTGTTAACAGCGATGGCAGCATTCTTGCTGTTGCAACCTTCCATTCTATGCAAAGGCTCATGAGACATCAGGAATATAGAACCTCCGAACCTCAAATGTGATCCTCCAGGCCATTCTATATGACACTCCAGAACCCATGCACTCTCCCCCAGACAGCATATCTCACCAGCCCAGATCTACATGCTCCTCAGTGTGCATCCTTGAACTCTAATAATACCTCTTGTTAGCATAGAAGGCTTGAGAGAGGTGTGTGTGTGTAGAAACAGAGGTTGTTCGCTTGGCTGGAATGCAGCCTATTATAACAAAGCCTCATTCATCACTTTGCCCATTTGGGGCCTTTGGATCTGCCCACCATTGGTATGCGGACCCCAGAAGGTTGCCCACCAAGGAATGTGGCCCTCAGTCTAGAAAAGGCTCCCCAAATGCCGACAAGCCTAAGGAAACTAATTATTAGCAAATAGTGGGTGCAAAGTGTCTACACCTCCAAAATAAAATAACATGTTACATGTAAACCAGTCAAGAAAGCTGCTGAGTAACTTAGGTGTCAAAACTGGCATTACAAAGGCACGAGACACAAAGCATCGTTCTGCAACCTCGAATGGGAAACAGAAAGGCGCCGTTCCATCGGGCCTCCAAAATCAGAAAAGGCCCAGGTAGCCCAGTGTTTCCCAAACTTTTGTCTCCAGCTGTTTTTGGACAACTCCCACCAACCCTAGCTAATAGGACCAGTGGTCAGGGATGATGGGAATTGTAGTCCCAAAACAGCTGGAATCAGCGATAGCCTATCTTAGGCGGCAGTGGGGGAAAACTAACCGAGTGTCAGGTTGACCACTAAAAGCAAACTGACTTGCATGCTGATACTAGACCAGTCTGCCAGCTATGATTGATGACGTTATCTGCTACCATGTCAATATCCCTGTACCTATATTTATGTGGACAACGTTCCATGTGAAGCAGCTGGGGTCAGCGCCAACACCTGGCTCCTTCGGGGAGATGCCAGGGCCCTTACAGAGACCCCCTTCAGTTTTATTTCCTTTTTGTGGCTAAGCACTGCAAGCAGTTCCGAGCGGAAGGGTCTGCTCCCACCACCCACAATGGCCCCAATCCTATGCACATTCATTCGCTCAGGAGGAAATCGTACTAAGTGGGACTTGCTTCTCAAGAGCCATGCACCGGAGAGCATAGCACTAGGTCCTCAAGTCTTTGGTATGCTGTGCTTTTGTGCACTAAGGGGTTAAAAGCCAAGCTCCTGTTGATTTTAATCTGGGAAGACTTTAGCCTGGCCCAGCACCAAGCGATTCACTGGAACAGTCAACAGACAAAGTTTGTTGTCAGAAGCAACAAGAGGGTTTATACACACCTCCCAGCCACCCCTGAGCTGGATTCTTCTAAATCACACACCGGAGAGTAGCTTTCAACAAGGCAGCTGGTTAAAGCAAAATACTGATTTAGGTTTGACAGCACCTCTTAAGGTACTGTAAGTGTTCTGGATCTGCCCTCTTAAAGGCAGCTTATTGAAAATCTGCGTACCTGTTTCTTTTACCCAATTCTTTGCTTAGTATTGCTCAGGCGTTTCAGAGAAAAAATGCTTAACACAGCCTATTCACACTGCAAGAGTGAAAATAAGAGGCCTTTATGAAAACAAAGTGCTAATATTTTTGGTCTCTGAACGCATATTTGTATTTAAGTCCCCAAAATGAGACTTCCCTTCTGATCACAGCTAGATCTCTCATGCCCTCTTGGGGAAATGTCACCATTTCACATCCCATCACCAACATCTCCCTGACCATCACCATCCAGCACGGCATCCCATCTTTGGTGTTCATGATTGACCCACATTATGTGAGACGTTAGGAAAATCGTTCAGGTCCTCAGGCCTAATGCCAAATCACATGACAGAGGACACCCAATTTTGTTTCCAGCTAGGCAGGGGGGGAATGTGATCGTGGGTCACATGAGCCGTTCAGATAAGTGCAGACTGTGAGTTCGCATACCACATCACTTCAAATAGTTTGAGCGCAGTGGCATGTAAAAATCCTCACCCACACTAGAGATAAAGGGCTCTTGTAGCTATAAGCACATTCCGAGTCAAGGCCAAGAGCGGTTCTGGATATCGTACACAACTCTGGCTTTGTCGGCTGTGTATAAACATTTGAAGCACATGCACTCCCTTCAAAAGAATTATGAGCACTTCACACGGTTACAATTCCCAGCAACGCTTAACAAACCCTTAACAGAGCCCAGAATTCTTTGAGGACACATGCTTCCAAGATATAGTGCACACACAACCAAATTCTTCCACAGTAATGCCTTAGAGCAGGGATAAACAACCTGTGGTTTTCTAGTTGTTCCTGGTGTCCAGGGCATGCTGGCTGAGGCTGATGGGAATTGTAGTTCAGTGATCTCTCGGGGGGCACAGGTTCCCCATACCTGCCTGAAAGGGAAGCTGCCCAGAGGAGCTGCTGCACGCTACTTCCACACACGGGTTCCCTCTTCAAGCATAACATATATTTCAGCTTGCTGATACAAATGTCCAAAAGGTGAACCCACCTCACCACAACAGCTTGTAATAAGAAATGCTGGGGGAAGAAGGCTTGCAAGTGGTTATTAGGGTGAAATTCTGCACCTTGATACATCCAGAGGAAATGGACCAGACTCACTTCCCCCAAAAATCAGAGTTACGTCAAACTTCAGTCTTATTATGAGCACAACAATTGAAGTGAATGAGAATGACAAATTTGTAGGTCTACTCATTTCAATTCCCTGAGCAGAACTCGGTTGGAGACAAACCTGTGTTTACTCTCAGGGTGCAAGGCACAGTATTTCCCCAAAATTATCCCACTACTTGATTAGCGATATCAGAACTATTCTATTTAATTTGAAGTCCATAAAATAACCCAGCAGTAGTGCGGACCTGTGTATTTAAGGGGAATTTTTGCACTTGTTTTTGATGTCGTTTCTTAAAACAGCACAGTGACATGTTGTCACTGTGGCCACACTCATTTTTTATGTCATTTTTTAAAAACAGCACCCACATTCTATGTTGTCATTGTGGACCATTTGCTCCTGCACCAGCATGCATTAAGATATCAGAGGTAAGCACAATCAGGAGACCATGTGCTCTGTTATGCTCTGCATCTGGTAAGTGGTGCATTCGAAAGACAGCAAAAACCATGTGAAAAACATGAGAGTAGGACAGACCCATTGTGATGACTTAACCACATTCCAAAGGAAAGTACCTATGGGCCAAAACACCTCATTACATCAAATGCATAATTACAGTAAACATGTGTTTTATATATTTAAAAATAGCAACTGGAGAGGATCAGGATTGTAAGGGGGAGGGACTTCATAAGTTCTGACAAAACTCTCTTCCCCAAAAGTTGCTACTGAATATGGAACAGAGGCTGCTGTTGAGGTCAATAGCAGATTCCTGTTCATACATAAGAAGAGCCCTGATGATTGATCTACTTCAGCATCCTGCTTTCACTGTGGCCAACAAGATGCCCATGGGAAACCTATAAGCAGTATCTGATCCCAACTGGGCTCTTCTCACCTGTGATTCCAAGAAACCGTCATTCAAAGGTGTGAAGAGGTTTTACAGATATGTTAAGTGTGATCATGCATTTAAGGCAACACAGGTGTGGGGGACTTCTGGTCCTCTGGTTGTTGCTGAACTACAACTCCCATCAGCTTCAGCAAGCATGGCCAATAGGCCAGGGATAATGGGAGTTGTAGTTCAGCAAGACATGGAGGCTCTGGTTCAGAGGATAGTTACAAGTCTGAAAACAAGCCCTAACACCAGGAGAAGAGAATAACGGGAGACAGGATAATGGTCTTCAAATATCTGAAGGGCTCTCACTAAGAAGACACAGAAAACGTGTTCTCTGAAGCTTCAGAAGGCACAACTAGAACCTAAAGGATGGAAATGGCAGATTTCAGCTAAGCTTTAGGACATTCTAATGGTAAGAGCTGCTGGGCCATTAGGGAGATAGTGGGTCTCTTCTTTGCTGGTGTTTAAGCAGAAGGATGGTGGTGATCTCTCTGTAGATGCTTATTCTCACACTTCAAATCCTGCTTTGAGCAGGGGTTGGACTAGAGGACCTCTACAACCCCTTCCAACTCTGCAATTAATATTATGAAGGCCACAGATTGAGGAAAGGCACGCACAGCCCAAATGGTGCTCCCTTAAACTGAGAGTCCTCTGCTCTGTTCTCAGGCAGGATGTTTTCTCCTGTATCTGTGGCCACTGTACATCCTGATAATCTTGGGCGCCTGCTTCCAAGTGTTTAAGAGCTGGCCGGCCACCTTGTCCAAGGTTGGGCCATCAAAGTCGGCCAGCAGGTTGACCGGAGCGGCTTCCTTGAGGATTTTGGGCAGGCTCAGGGCTTCGGGGAGCTTGGGGTTCCCCAAGAAGAGGTGCAACAGCTCACGCCTCTGCAGGCTTTCCACGAGGAACAGGAAGAGGTTCTCCAGCCTCTCCACCAGGAACTGGTCCTCCCAAGCTTGCAAGGGACCCCGCAGGAGGAGCCACAAAAGTGCCGTCTTGAGGACATAGGAAGAAAGGATCCGGTTCCACTGAGAGCCCAGAGGCTGCTCCAGAGAGCGTCCCCCCAGGTCCCTCAGCCCCTTGAGGATCTGCAGGCACTTGAGGTGGCAGGAGTCAGCAGGAGCTTGCTCCTTGAAGAAGCCCAGCAGCTTCTGCTCCGGTTTGGAGACGTTGAGCGTCCAGAAGGCTCCCAGCTTCCCGGGAGCCGGCGGCTGGGCCGACGGCAAAGGGGTGAGGTAGAGCGCCTCGCCGAACGGGATGGCCGGGGTGAGGCGCACGGCCATGGAAAGGTGGCAACAGACGTAGTCGGAGCGAGGCGCGATATGCAAGGTGAGCGGGCGCCCGGGCCCGACGGCCAAGCTGACCCGGCAGCGCTCCTGGAGGCGGGAGCGCACGGCCCCCAGGCACCGCTGCACGTGGCCCTGGAACCAGCGCAGCACCAGCGCCGACGACAGGTGGCGCCCGCCGCCCTGCGCCGACGGCAGCTCCACGCACAGCGCCTCGCTCAGCGCCCCCGCCACGCGCGGAGAGGGGCCGCTGCCCGCCTCGTCGTGCGCGCAACCGGCCGCCACTTGCAGGGCGCACACGAAGGCTCCGAGCAGGCCCGCCTCGGTCCCCCGACGGGGCTGCACCCGCAGCTCCAGGCGGGGCGGCAACCGCAGAGGCACCAGCACGTCGAAGCAGTCCGGGCTGCGCACTTTGTGCTGCTCGTAGGCGCTGCCCACTTGCACGAAGTCCCCGCGCGACGCCAGCCGGTCCGGGGCCTTGCCGGCGCGCACCAGCTCGCCCACCACCAGGCTGACGTGCGCCTTGCTGTGGCCCAGCACGTGGGGCGAGAGCCGCAACTGCTGCTCGTAAAACTCCCCCAGCAAGTCGCGCCGGCGCTGCTGCCGCCGCCGTCGAAGTTCACTCCAGGCACCCTCGGGGCTCTCCGCCAGGCCGGCGGGTCTCTGGGCGCGGCCGGGCAGCCGGGCGCGATAGCGCAGCGCCAAGCAGGCCAGGAGGAGCAAGAGGAGCAGCGAGGCTTTCAGCAGCGGGGCGCCCAAGCCGGAGCCCTCGAGGGCCGCGCCGGCTTGGCTGCTGCTCAGCGCTTGCAAGACGTACAGGATCGCGGTGCAGCCGCACGTCACCAGCGGCCAGAAGACGCGCAAGTTGAGTCTGTAGGCGGTCATGGCGCCTCGTTGCGCGCCGGGAAAGTTCAGTCGCGAAGCCTGCGGCGCAAAGGGTGCCTCTGAGCGCGCACAGAGGGCATGGCACTCAAGCGGTGCTGCTAGTCAAGAGAGCCCCACGGTTCTCTGTTTTTAAGTGAAATCTCTTCAGCCCATTGTAGCGGATCAGGAGCAAGTCAATCGATCCTTTCCAGCGATCCTTTCCCGTCCACCGGGACGCGCGATGCAGGGCCCCGGGCCCAGCAGCCGATACCCCCGCCTCCTTCCTCCCGGCAACAGCCGACAACACTTGGGCGGCCTCTTCCTCCTCCCCCGGCGCGGTAGATCTCCGATCTGCTGGTGCGCTGGGATCCAGCCGCCTCTGAAATGGGCTGAGGAATACTTTGGAAGCTGAGCTTCCCCGTTCCTGGAATCAGATCTCGGGTTCCCCGCGTTTCCCTCTCGCTCTCGTCCTCTCCAAACTCCCTTGGCTGAAACTTTCTGCCTGGAGGACGGCTTCCCTTTGCGGTTTCCTGTCTCGTTGCCGCCGCCTCCTCCTCCTCTCCAGTTTTTACTGTCCCGGGACTACGCGGGGGGAGCGCGCGCCAAAGTGGCCTCCTCCGACGCCTCTTCCCCTCTCCAGCCCTTCCCGCAGACCGTTACTTAAAGGGGGGAGGAATGGGGCTTTTGAAGCTTCCTCTTCCGAGTGGGAAAGAGGAACTTTTTCGCGTCACTTATTCTATGAGCTCAGGGAGGAAATAACAAAGACTGGGATGGTGGGTGGATGTGAAATCAGAGCTGGTAGTCCAAGAGTGGGAGGGGGAACCTCTGGCTCTCCAGATGTTGCTGAACTACAGCTCCCATCAGCCCTGGCCTTTGGGCATATTTGCCAGGGATGATGGGAGCCGGAGTCCAGTCACATCTGGAGAGGCTCAGGTTCGCACATTCTTGTTTTAGACTTTAACAGCCTGGCAGCTTCCATCTTCCGATGGTAATTAGTATTACTCCAAAATGTGGTAAGTATGTGGGGTGGTGGTGTTTTTAGGGGCGCATGCTGCTCATTGTACTGAATGGGGGCCGGGACTTCTGCACCAAAGTCCAGCCATGAGTCCATTGGCTGAATGCTTTTTGCTCTGCTGATGTCTCAGAGGCTTCATCCATTCAGAAGAGATAAGAGAATCAGTTCCTAAAATTGACAGCAATTTAAAAGAGGGAAGGAAGGAAGAAAAACTATTTACTTAAATAAAATAACATTGGTTTAAATCTGCAGGTAGTTAATTACATTTTAACAATAACCTTTTATATGGCTTTATCTGTATTTTGATTTTTGCAAACCACCTTGAGTCCTGTTTCTGGGGAAAAGGTGGGATGGATAAACAAACAAGCAATGTCTTATAAAGGTTGTCCACCATCCCCAATCTCTGCTGACTGGTAGCAGAATTCCAGGGGTTTCCAGGCACTCACCAGGGTTGTGTTTCCATTGAGAGATCAAGGCACAGCAGAGAAATATGGTTTATGTGCACATATTTATAGTTAAAGCCTTCAATGGAGGGAGTTCAGAGCATTACATCTCAAGAGGGGCTTATTCCTCCAGCAGGGCAGCACTGGATTTCCAAGGCACCCTGGAATGCCATCTCTGTCCCAGCACCTGCATGGAGTTATTCCTACTTCCTCCTCCTTGTTTCCAGAACACCAAGCTGCCAAAAAACCCGCAGTGTAAAAGGACAACTTTTTTCCTGAGTGACACAACACATACCCCTTGCCCTGGCAATCTCCCTCTTGCGAGGGAGACAATAGGGAGTTTTGTCTTGTAGATGGCTTTTGCAATGGGTTAATGGCAGGGCCATTATCTCCCTCTGCCCCTCTGTTTGGAAGGAAAAGAAGTTCAGCATGTCATCTCACCTTAATTGTCAAAGCTCTGGTTCAAACCCCAGCAACCCAAGAATCGAGAGGGGGAAACCTGGCACCCAAAGATCTGGGGGAATCCCTGTTCCGCACTAACCTATAACACTAGTGTGCATCAGTCAGGGTTTTTAAAGCAGATTTTAAACTGCCAAATTCATCATCAGACACCCAACAGTAAAAAAATTTAAAAGCCGAACGTAAAACAAAGTGGTTTTTTTGCTTCTATGTTACATGATCATCCTGTATCAATGGTCCTTTCTCCATAAAGGTAAAGGTAAAGGTACCCCTGCCCGTACGGGCCAGTCGTGTCCAACTCTAGGGTTGTGCGCCCATCTCACTTAAGAGGCCGGGGGCCAGCGCTGTCCGGAGACACTTCCGGGTCACGTGGCCAGCGTGACGAAGCTGCTCTGGCGAGCCAGCACCAGCGCAGCGCACGGAAACGCCGTTTACCTTCCCACTATAAAGCAGTACCTATTTATCTACTTGCACTTAAGAGTGCTTTCGAACTGCTAGGTGGGCAGGAGCTGGGACCGAAAGACGGGAGCTCACCCCGCCGCGGGGATTCGAACCGCCGACCATACGATCGGCAAGCCCTATAATTTTTACCTATTATACAGTGATTATTCATTTATGAATCTGCCTTAGTTCAGTAATCAGCAAGCACAAAAAAAGGGGGAGCAATTTAGGGATATTTACAAGGACAAGACAAAGCATTACCTGCCCAAAGTGGAGGAGAAGGAGGTTCTGCCCAAGGTGAAGGCAGTGACTTTTAAGCAAAGCAATACTGTCTGTCAGCTGAAGAGATTATCTATTGCACCAAAGCGTTGCGAAAGTGTGTCTGCAAAGAAGGCACCCTCAGGATCCAGAGGGCAAGGTTGGAAGTAAGAGAAATGTGTTTTCTCACTGAAATGTGACAGAACAGGAACGTCTAAAGGAAAGAGATGTCAAAGGAAGGAATCAGACCTGTAATAGATCTTGCAGCCCTGACAAGAAAACTGGCAAGGTTCAGCGCGTACTCGCAGTCACACTGACAGCCATACAAGAATTAAATTCTTCCCAGTGCAAAGAGCGCAAGACGTCAGCTTTGATGAATGTGAAGATATAAAAGTGAGCTGTTAGCAACAATAGGTTCAATTCTGGCCAGAGAAAACACCGAAGAGCTGCAGTACAGGTGTGGAAAACCTTTGGCCCACCAGATGGTGCTGAACTACAACTCCCACCATCCCCAGGCCCATTGGCCATGCTTCCTGGGGCTGATGGGAGTTGTAGTTCAGCAACATCCGGAGGGCCCAAAGTTCCCAACATCTGGCGTGGAGAGAAGTAAATTCAGCTGAAAAGTGTTTGGGAGGGGAAGTTTTGTTGTCATAAGTGGAAACATTAAGAAACTGGCATTTTTGTTCTGAACATGGGATAGTCTTGACAGTGTTCATTGGCATGCCGAAGGAACCATCAGAAGCAGATGCCGCTACAATAATGAACTGAGGTGTGGCACAGAGTTTAATTTGTGTTGGACAATCCCACAATAAATAATGAGCTCTACATGGACAAGTGTCTTCTGCGTTAAATAAGCAGGTGAGTGACAGCAGGAATAACACTAGCTCTGTATCTAATCACACACACACGGTCATCCCCAGTGCATTAAAAGGTTACTTTTACTACCTAGGGTTTTTTTTTAGGGGTGGGGGTTCATTTAAATTTGCTTTTAAGGGCAAACCCACTTAGAACAGCCATCCTTAAAAATCCAGACCACTGCAGTTCTGCAGCTAATATGTGTGGGAAAATGATTGCTTGTACATGAGAGCATGAGCAAAGTTCTTATTGTTACAGGGTGATTTCATAGCTAGAAGCATCCTTGGAGCATGAACAGCACGTGAACAGCTCGTGCTGTCCTATATGATTGGCTAACGTGGCATGGCCTGATGTTCGCATAATCTAGTGCGAAGGTCCTTATCTGCTGGCTAGAACAAATTGCTTGGCTTGTATTTTGTATCTTTCTGATTTCAGACAATAAAAGCTGTGCTGCATTAGCCCTAGGAGCAGCCATATTTCGGAACCTATTATGGTGTGAGACTGATTTTTCTTTGGATGCCGAGCTGCAACTCGACAATTGGTGCCCCGTGTGACTGCCTTCGGACTTCACGTTGTTTTTCATTATTCAGCACTCACCAACACGTCGTTCATCCACGTAGTGGATCCCTGGTGAGTGCTCCCGTGTGATTTCTTTCGGACTTCATGCTGTTTTACAACGTTCAGCCTCACCTCGCCCGGCAGGGCTGCAGACGCGTCGTTCATCCACGTAGTGGATCCCCGGTGAGAGCTCCCGTGTGAATGTGATTCTGGACTACGTTACGGACTTATCAGCACTTATCTCCGCCCGGACAGGGCAAAAGGCGCCTCCCTCATCCTCCTAAGGATCCCTCCGGTAAGTGCTCCCTGCTCTTTTTGCAACTCTTGCAATCATGGGAAAGTCTCTCTCTGCACCACAGAAAAAATTTTTTAAAGACCTTAAATTCCTTTTGGCCAGTAACAACCTTGCTGTTCGGAAAGCTGACCTTAAGTCCCTTATAAAAGCCCTGGACACTCACTGTCCCTGGTTCCCCCAGGACGGAAATTGGGAGTTAGAAGATTGGAAAAAAATTGGACACTTCTTTCAAAATCATCCTCAGATTGATGTCAAGGTTTTGCATGCCTGGTGTAACGTCTGCAAAGCTATGTCGTGCTTAACTCCTTCAAACATTCTTCTGGCTGCCGCAACAGCTTCTTCGCCCGCCCTCCCAGCTCCCGCTTTGCCTGCCTCAAACCTACCTCCTAAACCGCCGGACATTTTCCCTCCGGCTTCTCCTGTCACTCCCCTGCATTCTTCAAATTCTGCAGCACCCCCCGCTCCTCCACCTCCTCCGCCCAAGGCATCTGGCACCGCTTCTACTACTCCTCTCCAAGAATCTCTCCGCGCCGCTGCCCCATTGTTGGGTTTTGATTGTACAACTCCTAATCTCTTCCCTGTGATTGCTCCTGCCGCGCCAGGGGGAGGCCCAGCCCGGCACAACCAGTTTGATTTGAGATTCATAAAGGAACTGTATTCTTCTGTCAAGGACAATGGCCCTGCACCCCCAGCCCCTGTTATGCTGAACCAAACTGATGTTCTTGATGGCTTAACTGGCGAAGGCAATTTTCTTACTATTGCCCAACAGTTGGCCCTTGATCCCATGTATTGGACAGCTACTACTGCTGCCGCCCAAGAAGCTTTGTCCTCTGTTCCTGATGACAAGAATGAGCGCGGTGGCAGCATCAGACAGGGTCCTACAAAGCCCTATGGACAATTTGTCGATCGCTTGGATAACACTCTTAAGCGGCAAGTTCAGGACGTAGCAGCCCAAGAACTGATTGTCCGCCAGCTTGCGTTTGATAATGAGAATGAGGACTGTAAGCAAGCGCTGCGCCCTTTGATGACAACACCAAATATAGTCATTGCAGATGTGCTTAAAGCCTGCCAGTCAGTGGGCACTGAGATGCACAAAGCTCGCCTGCTAGCCACGGCTTTGTCCTCCACCGTGCCCCAGAATCCTGCAAAGGATAAAACCTGCTTTGGATGTAGCAAAGTGGACCATTTTCGTGCGCAGTGCAGATCTACCGCACAGCAATGTCACTCCAGCACAAAGTGCTCCATCTTTGATACAGGCCAGGACTTGTCAATTTTATGAAGCACATCTTAGATCACATATTGGTCACCCTGGTTATTTGGCAACAGGAATTTTACGACTGCTGAACTTCATTTCCGGAAGGAGGAAGTATTGCAACGCCCTTTAGTGTCTTACAGGTTGCTTCCAGATCCACAGTGGAAGGGTCCAACTTCCTTGATTTCCTGGGGTCGCGGGTTTGCGGCAATTGACGTAGACGGAGTTCCCCGATGGGTTCCAGCCCGCTGCGTTCGACCTTGGCGCTCTTCTGTTGCCTCGTCTTCGCCCAAGGAGACACCAGCACCTTGAAACCGTATTTTACGCTGTTTGCCGGTGATGACCTCTCACCTGACCTCAACCCGCATTGCAGTTGGAGACATCGCCATATTGATGTGCCCTGGATAAAGTCACCTTCCACAGCTGTTCCAGTGTTTCCTGGCACGTTGAAAGGCCATCTTCAACCCTATCGCGTTGGCCCCCCTTCCCCCTGGGAAGCCACCGTTTCTACCACTTATCGTTACAGTTTTGCCGCCTCTTGTCTGGGAAATGAACCTGGATTTGAAGGATGCCCTCGCCGGACCGGCATCGCTTGGATTTACCCCACAGATCTCTTCTTCTTTTCTCCTCCCTCAGGAGTCCTGCCCTATGATGTATTCCCCTGAGCATGTACAGAAAGCTGTCTTGGAACTATTGTGGACTCTTGGCAGGGGAGGGGGTGAGGGGATTTCAGTGTGTTCCAGTTGTTTCATTCTTGTGCTTTGGCATGGTTCCCGGACAGAAAGCAAGTTGCAATATGGTTCTTTAGCAAGGCCTCCGAAGACAATGGACTCTGTTCTCTACTTTGTTGCAATCTTTTTAGTTACAGCAAGCCTAATATGCTTGCCTAGTGCCTTTTAGCTGCCGAGAAAAATGATTTTTAAAAGCTTCTCAAAGCTTTCAGCTTTTTTTGGTGGTGGTATTCTAGCATTCCAGTAAATGCTTCATATAAGATTAGCAATAATATGAAGGACAATCGCATAAATTTACCTCCTGTATTTCTATCGCTTGTAGAATTAGCTCCTTATTGTTTTCATTTTAATCACAATAGCAAAAAATTTTTAGGTCATTATCCATATTGTAATTGGACACATGAATACATTAATGGATCTTCTTGTTTTCTTAATGTTACAACCATGAGTGGCAGACCAAAGGTTTTAATTAATAATGTCACAACTTACATGACCTATGAACAACAAGCTGCGTGTAGAGACTTTTATGTTTGGTTCGACTGGATGAGAAAGAGCAGCAGAACTACATGTTTGCTTCAATCTGATTTATGGTTATTTTGTGGCACACGTGCCTACAAAGAAATCCCCTCTGCCTTTTCTGGTACTTGCACGTTAGGTATAGTAGTACCCTTGGTGTATAAAATAGATAAGCTCCCAGCGGTCCGTTTGCGTAACAGAAGGGAAGTACTATCACCTATTTCTCAATATACAGGGACAGCCATCTCTAGGTCCCTTCTGCCTTCTTTAGGTGCAGCCATGAATTACCGTGATTTGCATAAATTGGCAAACTGGACAGAAAATTTGTTTAATTCCACCATTTTGGCTTTAAAAATGATTAACAAAGAAATATCAGAAATAAGAAATGTAGTTCTTCAACATCATTATGCTTTAGATGTGATCCTTGCTTCTAAAGGTGGAATTTGTGCCTTAATTCATTCTCATTGCTGCATGTATATAACTGATCAATCGACCAATATCTCTGCTACTATTGATCATATGGAACAAATGATAGCCCATAATCCTTTGAATCCACCTGAAGGTTTTGATCCATGGGAGTGGTTGTCTTCTTGGTTACCTAATGGATTATGGTTAAGAAAAATATTATTGATTGTAATTGCATGTATTGCTGGCTTCATTATGGTGTGTTGTTGCATTCAATGCGTACCCTCTTTGATTTCCCAATGCACTGCATGGTGGTACCGACCACGGCCCACCACAGGGGTTACAAGAGGAATTTATGTTGCAAAGTGTAGACGCTTAGGCAATGAAGTGTACGATTTGGACTGATGGTCCCTCTTTTCCTCTAATAATATAAACAAGAAAAGGGGATATGTGGGAAAATGATTGCTTGTACATGAGAGCATGAGCAAAGTTCTTATTGTTACAGGGTGATTTCATAGCTAGAAGCATCCTTGGAGCATGAACAGCGCGTGAACAGCTCGTGCTGTCCTATATGATTGGCTAACGTGGCATGGCCTGATGTTCGCATAATCTAGTGCGAAGGTCCTTATCTGCTGGCTAGAACAAATTGCTTGGCTTGTATTTTGTATCTTTCTGATTTCAGACAATAAAAGCTGTGCTGCATTAGCCCTAGGAGCAGCCATATTTCGGAACCTATTATGGTGTGAGACTGATTTTTCTTTGGATGCCGAGCTGCAACTCGACAATTGGTGCCCCGTGTGACTGCCTTCGGACTTCACGTTGTTTTTCATTATTCAGCACTCACCAACACGTCGTTCATCCACGTAGTGGATCCCTGGTGAGTGCTCCCGTGTGATTTCTTTCGACAAATATGTGCAAAAATGCGTTTTTATGTACAACGAAAGTTGTACATAGACATACATAAATTTCCACATATATCAGCAAAAACTATATACAAAAATGCACTACATGAGGGGAAATTGGTTGGCAGAAATGTGTGCATTAGGCAACACTGCATACAAAAAAAATGCTGGGAGAAATCCACACTGAAATACAACTTTCATGCAGGTTTTTTGGGTTTTTTAATGCATATTGCTGCAGAAATGTACTGAATTGAATTAAGGCTGGGAAAATGAGAAACTGAAATTGATGGATCCGTTCCCTCCATGTAGGGTGCCTGCCTCATACTGTCCATTAGACTGGGATCCTATGGGGTGGGCAGCCTCTGCACCCACTGCAGATGGCTGGCTTGTGGGAATGTCAACTGGGAAATAAACACCTGAATAGGGGCAGTGCAGTAACTGCATCCCAAAACTGCCCACTCCTTGCCATTTGTAAGCTGACACCCTGCAGGAAAGGCACTCGAGTCAATGCCTTGTTCCTGACAGCTCCCAGAACAGAGGCGGGATAAGAACAGCACACAAACTTCTGCCAAACACGTGACTTGTCTGTGAAGAGTCTAGCAGAGAATTCCAAGAAATGTGGGACACTGTCAGAGAGTGAAGAGGAAAGGGGGGGGGGGAGAACACGTAGGATGACCTCCGCATCAAAGCACCAGCCTCACAGGCGCCTTTCTGGAGCTCAGATGAAAATCTCTCAAAATACATCAAAGTGGGAACAAGGCGAAAGACCATCGGAAAGGCCTAAAACCAAGGGCCAAATGGATGACATGTTGGTAATATTTAGCCCAGCAGGCATTGTGTGATCCAGGCATAGGCAAACTCCGGCCCTCCAGATGTTTGGGACTATAATTCCCATCTCTAGCTAACAACCAGTGGTCAGGGATGATGGGAATTGTAGTCTCAAACATCTGGAAGGCCGGAGTTTGCCTATGCCTCGTGTGATCTCTCCACCTTGTTACGTTAAGCAATTGCCACTTATGGCAGGAAGGGGCAAAATGAAAACAGAAGCCATGTGTTAATAAGCAGGACTGGGACGTAGTGGCAAATAAAGTCAGAGTCACGCCATACATTTAAAGCACACTTGTAGCACTGAGAGAGTCATGGTTTTCCCCAAAGACTGCTAGGAATGGAGCAACTGTTAGAGGTCTCCTAACAATTCTCAGCATGCTTAAACTACAGTTCCCACAATTCTTTTTTGGGGGGAGGGGTTGGAATCCATGATTCCTAAAGTAGCAAGAGTGCTTTAACTGTACAGTGTGGGTGGGACCTAACTCCAAAATAGAAAAGCATTATTTTTTTTTGCTTGCCCGTCCCTCACCATATCAGAGGCCATTGGGCGGGTGTACTCGACACATGTCCAACATGGTTTTCTCCGCTGTCACTTTGACCTTTCCAAAAGCAGGGGCCTTGCACAAATAAAGCTGCTCGCGGTCACTTTAAACTCCTGGTAAAAATATTTAAATGACATTTTCTTCCCTACTTGGAATGAAGCCACACACACCCCACAACTGCAACATAATTTGCACCTGATTCCTCAGTGCTGGTTTCAATGAGACTTAATTCCAATCAAATGTAGCCAACATGAATAGTTGACATCATAGTGGGAAGCAATGCTTGTTTTATTTCCCTCCAACTATTGCAGGGGTGAGGAGCCTCAAGCCCATGGGCTATTGGCCCACCAGGCTATTCCCCTCAAACCACACCCATCCATCAACTGACATCACCGGTGACATCAGTTGATGGGCAGGACAACCCAATTTAATCCTCCACTGGCTGCGCTGTCTGTTTATATAGCCTGGGAAGCAGGATTCAATTTCTGCTCGTTCATCAGCTGATTAAAGACTGGAATGAGATTGGCACAAGACTGGAGATGTAAAAGGGATGGGGGAAACTCTGAAAGGCTTCTGAAAGCTGCTTCTATCTTCTCTTTTAAGAACCTAGGAACTTAAAAGGAAAGAGGGAGGAGGGTTGGAAAAGCCTCTGCAAGTCTCCACACTATTAAATCCCTGATCTTAAGTAGTGGGGAGGGGGCTGGATCTGAAAAAGGTTTTGCAAGCCTTCTCCTGCTTCCCTTTTACAACCAGAGGGAAAAGGGATTTTGACAAGTCGAATCTGATCCTGATACGGATCTGGATCGCTACAATGGTACGTGTATTCTATACTACTGCATATATGCTGTGGATGTTTACACCTTCTTTTCATTTACATTTAAAATGCAGTTAGCTATCTTATGTGTAGATATAATTATTATTCTTACCAAGTGATAGATCAAACTATAATTATTTGCTCAATGTATCATGCCATCCCATCAACCCTAGGGCTTGTTTGTTTTTTGGTGCTGCTATAAGCACTAGAAGATGGCTTGTATGGACAGAACAGGAAGAAAAAAGATGCACCACTGTGTGATTTTACTTTTATATTATTTGAATGATGCTATAATAATCCATTTATTCAAAACTGTTATTACACTATTGCACAAAACTTCTCTATATTCTTTCCGATAAAAAAATTGCCGCTTTACATCCCATTTGTATAGCATTCTTCAAAATGGAATACGCTGGAGCCTATAGAAGAGAGAGAGAAGACATTTAATACACTTTCCAGCTTAGTTTGAATAATTCAGAGTCTTGTGCCACCGTAGAAACTCCAAAACTGTCATCCAAGAGACCATATATTAAGTACCATATTTTTCCGTGTATTGGACGAGGTTTTTTGACTCAAAAATTACGTCAAAAAATGGGGAATATCCAAAACACAGATAGATAGTGGAATGGGAAGAAGCAGGGCACGTCAGTCATTCGGTTGACAGGAGCATGGCTTCTCCCAATTCCGCCCAATCTGGAGGGGACTGGGGGGGGGGCTGTACGCTGCCAGCCAGCTCGTTGGCGGGAGCACAAATTCCCTTGATGCCGCTGCACACGGCGTGCGCTCCCTGAATCCTTTCCCGTGTGCGTCAGCATCGGGGGAGGTTGTGTTCCCGCCAGTGGATTTGCGGGAGCGCAAATTCCCCCAATGCCGCTACATGTGGGAAACAATCTAGGGAGTGCTTCCTGCCCGCAGCTGCCTGAGGGGAGAGGCTCAACAACTTTGGGCCATCTCCCCTCATTTTCTTAAAATTGAGTCCCTCAAAATAGGGGGGGGGGTCCTTATACATGGGGGCGTCCTATAGACAGAAAAATACGTTGGTTATGAAGCCGCCTTATACAGAGTTTAATCCATTGGTCCATTGGTCCACTAGCCAGACCTAGTTTCCGTATTTGACATCACTGCACCGAAATCATTAATAGAGTCAGATCCAGGTTTGCAAACTGAAACCCAATCGAAGTGCCCTCTGGGAAACTCCCTGCAATCTTGGGGGCATCTTGCCAGCTGTCACTGGGGAGAAGCAAGACCTGTCCTCCATTTAAAAGTTAACATTGGCCTCGACATAAGCATAATTCAATTGCATTCTGGGGAATTTAAATGGTGGCCTTCCTGTTAAAATTTCTGAGAGGAACCTGGAGTGATGCTACTTTGGGGATAATTAAAACATTGGGTGGCTCACAGCCCCAGTTATTTATCCATGTGTCGACTCAGGGCTGCCATCTATGGTGAGCCATGCCGGGGTGATGAGGAACCACCCACAAACATGGATTCCAGGTGCTAAAACCAGCCATGATGGATAGCCTGGGGAGTTAATGATTGGCACCTACCAGTTCTGCATCATGATCAAGTCCAATGTCGTGATGCTCCATCTCCTCATCCCTGAATTTCTTTATTACCTTGTTTAAAAACAAAAACATACCAGACGAATAGCTGACTGTCTTGCATGCAAGTCAAAGAGATGCCAGAACACACAGGGTTGTAGCCCGTAAGCCCTACTCAAGAGTAGACCCACTGAAGCTAATGAACATAAGGCCCCATCTGCACTACACATTTAAAACAGCACCATACCACTTTAAATGGTCATGGCTTCCCTCAAAGAATCTGGGAACTGTAGTTTGTTGATTGTGCCATGAGTTGTTAGGAGACCGCTCTTCCCCTCACAGAGCTACAATTCCCAGAGTTCCTTGGGAAAGAGGGATTGACTGTCAAACCACTCGGGAAACTGTAACTTTGTGAAGGAAATGGGAGTCTCCTAACAGCTCTCAGTACCAGGGCTTTTTTTCAGCCGGAACTCACCAGATTTTGTGACCCTCCCGTCACCCTTCAAAAGTTATCCCAAATGTTTGTTTTTAAAATGCCTATTTTACACTTGAGCCCCTGGAGCTTTAACTGTAAAACTAGCCAACCATGGATTAAAACACACCTCTAATAATTCTCTGTATTTTTCTGGATCCTCTTCCACAAGTGTCCTGATCTGGTTGTTATAATGGTGAGATATGCTCTCCTCTACAGCCACAGTGCAAGCCATTGCACCTTCTTTTCCAAGCAAGGCAGTTCCAGCACCTGTTGCAGAGTCATTGAAATAAGACGCATGCCCCATATATGTATTTGAATTAAAAATGAAGAAGAAAATGTGAAAGAGGGAAAAGGTTTAGCCTCACCTAACATAAATCCCGCAATGTTCCAGAAAGGCAACAGAATGGTTGGCCGGACTCTGTACAAGACCATTAACTCGTTGAACTTTTTCAAATGGCCCTTTTCCTGATCCCACATTTTCTGCATTAAAAAAAATGGCATTCAGCAAGACAACCGCAGTAACATGGAAGGAAAATCTTCCCCAGGATAAACAGTATCAGCCTTCATGATACATTATAGATTTAAGAGTGCTGCTGTCATTTTCAACACTATTTCATTATTGTTGCATTCTGATGCTCCAATACAGTGGTACCTTGGTTGTCGAACAGCTTGGCTCCCGAACACAGCAAATCTGGAAGCAAGCCTTCCGGTTTGCAAACGTATTTTGGAAGCCAAACATCCAACATGGCTTCCGCAGCTTCCGATTGAGTGCAGGAAGCTCCTGCAGCAAATCGGCAGCCACGCCTTGGTTTTCGAACGGTTCCAGGAGTCGAAAGGACTCCCGGAATGGATTAAGTTTGACAACCAAGGTACCGCTGTAATCTAAACCATAGTTTGGAGGACTGGGAATAAAGCCCATGACCATAAGCACCCTCCTTTCCTCACATGCCTGCCTCACATCACCATTCAACCAAACCACAGTTTGCAGTTATGTCTGAACTGGCAAACAATGGGTTGAGGAACACTCCATATCAGGATCAAAACAGATAAGAAAAACACTTTGAAACAACTTAAAATTACAAAAATGAAGTGGGTCTTTAAAATATGCATCGTATCAAAGTCAAGAGTAAGCAGGTGTGTTACTAAATACTATAGATTCTAAGTAGTGTACAATAAGGTACAGCATAAATTGTTGTATTCATAATATCTGGTGGCCTTCATTTACATTTTTTCATATTGTATTTTAATATTAATGTTCTGTTTTAATTAGTGTAACCCACCCTGGGACCTTAGGGTAAAGAACAGCAGGTAATAAATTGTATAAATAAATAAATAAATAAAGCAAGAAGGGTTGGAGAAAAAAATACAGGTATAGGTTAGAAATAGTCACCCTTATAACTGGTCCTACTGAAGTTCTCCCCAGCACTGCCATTTGTCCTGCATAAATGCGGTTCGCCCCATATTCCCCAGCATGATCCACTCTGATTATACGGTCAATAACTGGCCTATTGATGTTTTCATAGGTCGTTCCAGTACTACAGCATCTGTAAGGTGAGTGCAAGGATGGCAAATGCCATCTTCTTCTTCCACCTGTAAAAACACACATTTTATTTATCAGAAAAAAGTCAGAGCAAGAATCCTGTCACTATTCACTAACAATGGGGAGGGAGGAGGGCAGCCAGGAAGTTTTTACTACTTAGTAATAACTACAGCTGTGTTGTTCGTCATTCAATTAAATCAACTAAAAAGGCCATAAAATCCCTTTAAATTGGAAGGGGTTTTCCAGGGAATTAAATTATTATTACTAATTATAAAAACTGCAGGTGGAAAAGGTGTTCTTAAAAGAAGCATTTCCCTCTGAGCAGCAAAAGAGAAACACCCTCAAGGTTGGTGTTGCAATGTTTCACACATAATTTTTTTAAAACTGAGTTGATTTTAAGAATGTAGTTCCTTCTATGAATTTATAGAAAAAGCATCAATTAATGAAGGAAGACTTCTTTATCCAGATGACAGCCTTCATAATAACAACAGCTTTGGATCTTTGGGAGACTCCTCTTTGTACATCCCTTCACTGGGAGAACACTCCGCTCGGTCCTGCTCCCTGCTTCTTGTTGCTTAATAAATTATTAGCATTCTTATTATTTGTAAAAATCTCTGAAAAATATAGTATTACTAATAATGAGATTTAAGTATATCCAGTGCTTTTTTTCTCTTTTAAAAAATGTTTAGGGGGAATTCTCATTTTGATTCCAGAAAATCACCATTTTATAGTTCAAATCGGGAAAAATAAATACAGTAAATGGACAAAAGTACAAAGATTCACAAAATGTTTAGGGGTATGCGTCCGTTCCCCCCCCGAAAAAAAGCAGTGAGTATATCATTAATAACAATACTATTTTACTAAGTTAAAATACGAGAGTTATAACGCGTTAAATATTATTGTTGCAGCACACTATTCTTTTAGCTGCTGCAGAGACCTGATTGCATGCTGAAGGAGTAAGATCTAAATCATGCAGCTATGGCCGAGCGTGCCTCTGAGCGTACACAGAGCGCCTTCCCCTCACCGCCACCCATTGCGACAGACGAGGGTGTGTCAAGGGGACTGAAAAGGGCAGGGCGGCTGGGGGGGGAGGACGTTTAGAGGGCGGCAAGGAGCACCGGGGAGGCATGAAGGAGAACATCCCGGGAGAGGGGCGGCTACGTCACGGGCGCCCTCCCGCCCTACCTTCCCTGCAAAGGGACCGCCAGCACTCAGCTCGCCGCAGCTGCAGCCCCACCACCTCCGCCGCCATCCTCCCGCCCACGAGCGCCTGGCGCGGTCTGATGACGTCGCAACCATCGGCCTGCTCAACCGCGCCCATTCTAGACAGATGAATGTCGGCTTCGCGTTCCCAGCCATTATACAACATTGCTTTGTCCCAATAGATTTATAACAAAATAGACTTACACAAAGTTGCAGCTTTCCGGGTTCCTTTCTAACTTTTATTCTGCCTGCCGCCGAGCGGGGAAAGGAAATGACAGCCCATTACAGACATTTCGCTTTATTCACTCCTGTTCCTACTCACGCACGCACGCACATACCTACCTACTTACGCGCGCGCGGCGTGGGATCTCTGTATTTCGTATCTCTGTATTTCGTATCTCTGTATTTCGTATCTCTGTATTCCCCTCTAGGTACTTTGGTTCCAGCCCCCGCTCGCCTTTCCCTTTCCCCAATTGGAGGAAAGCGACCGCCAATTCCTTGGGAGGCGCGTCCTCCTGAGGTTGTCATGGCGACCACAGAACGCCTTCCTGGCGCCGAGGGCTGAAGCGATGGCGGCGCCGCTGGGGGGCTCCGTGTCCCCCGGGGACTAGCCCGCTCGGTGGCCCACAGGCTGTAAGGAGTGTGTATGTGTGTGCGCGCGCTTCAATGGCTGGGAAACGGGGGCAGAAATGTTATTCGTAATTATCTGTATGTGTGTGTGTGTGTGTGTGTGTGTGCTTTAATTCTATTAATCTTTAATTGCTTGTTAATGGTTCTCCCCCCCCATGTTTTTCACTGCAGTTATTTTATCGGTAAGCCTCCTTGAGTCCCTGTCAGGGGGAAAAGGCAGAATATATATGCATTATTGTTATTATATTAATAATATATACCCATGACCCAGCAACATACATAATTATACAATTATTTGTAATCTGCCTTGTGGGTTTTTCTTTAGAGTCAACCAGTATATAAATTTTAATTAATAAATACAAAAGGACTTTGACATGACCGTAACAGTACAGAGCACACAACAGCTTAATATGTTTGTTTATTATTACACTTATATGCCACCTTTTCTACAAAGAGCTCAAGAGGTAGCATACATCCTTATTTCTTTCATTTTTCCTCACAGTGACCCTGTGAGGTAGATTAGGCTGACAGGCAGCAACTGGTCCAAAGTCACACAGTGAGCTTCATGGCCAAATGGGGATTTGAACCCTGGTCTCTCAGCGCTCTAACCACTGTGCCACACTGGGTCTCATCATCGCTCCCATGATGGGAGTGAAAACCCACAAGCACACTAAATACATCCACTTAGCAGTGACCATCAAGCACTGATAAATGTTAAATTTAATTAAGATCTAGCAACCCTAGTTATAAAGCCACACAGCTGTGGGAAAATGGTTGCTTGTACATAAGAGCATGAGCAAAGTTCTTATTATTGCAGGGTGATTTTGCAGCATGAGATATTGCTTGGAACATGATGAGCGCGTGAACACTTCGTGCTAGATTACTGATTGGCTAATGTAGGATAGTACCCTCCTTGTCTGTGGGCAGGGGCAAGGTTGCATTTTTGTGATTGTTACTTATCTTGTACCAGGCAGAACAAGCGTTGGGCTGGAGGTAGAGAGGATGTATTTTTTGCTGTGCACAATAAAGGTTGGCTATTAGGCTCTTTGAATCCAACTTGGCGTGAGACTGATTATTGATGTCGAGCAGGCTCTCAACACACAGCATAAGATTGAACAGACATTTGGCTTGCAGTATACTGCTGTCTGATCTTATAAAATATGTTCAGGGCAATGGCCCCATCCTCATTCCCTACTACCTAGACAGGTACTTCACAGCACAGTCATATGTAAATGGAACTTATGCCTAGGTAAGTATGTGTAGGATTGCTGCCTTGGAGATCTGCCCTTTCCATCCTGCTTGGCAATGCTTCAACCGTCATCTCAGGCCAATACGTGATCTTTAAATGCTAAATTTGTACTGCAAAATTAGACAGGAAAGTAGAAGCATCTTGACACTCCCGAACTCTTCACGATAGCTTTGTGATTTTGAATGTTATGATGGCAAAGGGAGCAGCATAGCCAGATGGCAATTATGCTTTTTTTAAAATAAGGAAAAAAATGTGTTTTTCCCCATTTAGAAAGTATTATGTTGATGTACAAAGAAAAGAAGATTCCTTCGATTCATCTGGAGTCATCCATGATGAGACTGAAAGTTTGCGTTTGGTAAATATTTGTTAACGTATGTGTGGGTTTCAAAATCACATCTGTTGCACACAATGAAGGCTGGTACATTAGGGCAGTGTTTCCCAACCTTGGGCCTCTAGCTGTTTTTGAACTACAATTCCCATCACCCCTGACCACTGGTCTTGCTAGCTAGGGATGATGGGAGTCGTAGTCCAAAAACAGCTGGAGGCCCAAGGTAGGGAAACCTCAGCCAGCTCCCCACCTTCCTATTTTCTCACTTGCAACTAGGCTTGGGGGTGGCAATCCAAGTATGAAGGGAGTTTAAGTCCAACAAAATCTGGAGGGTACTATTCTAGCACTAATTAGCCTACCAGAAACTGTTCAATAGATCTACCTTCTGCCTACTCCTGTTGTAACTTATCATGTGGTGGCTGATTGTTAGCCTCTCCCCATTTGGTCTTTGCTGGGTTGTTATGCTGCATCTGGGCTTGATGGTGATGATCATGGTGGCAAACTTGACCCTCATGCCTTGCTATCCTAGCCATGTCCATTGACAGCAGCACAATGCACCTGATCTTATTTATACCCTGGCCATCTGGCTGGGTTGCCCCCGCCACTCTATCCTATATGGATGTAGTCCCACTGAGTTCAATGGGATTTACCGTATATCCAAACGTGTGTTTAGGATTGCAGCCTATATTTATAGATTTTGAGTGGTATTTGCAATACCAATGAGATGCATTGCTATTTTTTCTTTTTTATGATTGAGTATTTTAACATTTGCATATAAAAAAGTGGGTTTTTAATGTTGAATACGCACACACAAAAACTAGTTTTGTGTACTGTAGATTTGAGCCTATTAGCTTTCTTGTAGAGTTTCTCAAGATTCCCCAATCTAAATAGTTTTCTAAGAATCTTCATTTTTACTGGTCTTGCAGCATCCAGCATTTTTGATGAAGCAGAAGGAAAACCGGGAGCTGGAACATAATTTTGCTGAGATTAAATTGGAAGCATCCTTGCGTGCCTTTATGGGGAGCACCGAAGAATGCAACAGAAAATTGCAGAAAAGCCCAGAAAAGCAAAAGGATTTGGAAAAGCTTATTAAAAAGATGGCACAAGTAATATTTAGAATCACTCTTCTCTATTTCTTTATGCATACCACCTTTTTAATACATATCACTTCATGTTTGGGGAATCATCTGCCGTGTATGGTGGTAGAGCCATCATATGGGAAATGTTGTTGTTGTTGTTTAGTCGTTTAGTCGTGTCCGACTCTTCCTGACCCCATGGACCAGAGCACGCCAGGCACTCCTGTCTTCATATGGGAAATAGCAGTGTGTATCCAGCCAGTGGGTGTGTTCACACATAATAAGTTCAAGGCATTTGTTTTGGTGTATAAAGCCCTATACAGCCTGTTCAATATTAGACAGGAGCTGTCTTTGTTGTCATCTACTGAAGACCTTCCTCTTCCCACAAACCTTTTAAGCAGAGAACTTTTCCAGCCATCATCTATATTGGAATTGTTTTTAAAATGCTTTCATTGTTTTGTCACTTGTTGTTTGCTGCCATGGGCTCCTTTGGGATTTAAATTTAATAAATAATAACGCCAAACTGCAGTTTGACATTACACATCTCAGGATTGCGTGCCTCCTCCGCTTCCTTCCTCCCACTGAACAAGGCAGTTCCCTGCCTGTATGGTGGAGCAGCTGAGTGGTGGGCTAAGACTGGGGAGATCTCGATTCAAATCTCCACTCATTCCTGAAGCTTACTGGGTGATCTTGAGCCAATTGCTCTCTCTCTGCTTAACCACCTTCATAGGGTTGTTGCAAGGATGAAATGGGAGGGGGTGGGACTGTGTATGCCATCTTGAGCTCCTTTGAAGAAAGGGGTGGGGTGGGGGACCATGGCTGTCTGTTGTGATCAAGGCCATTACTTCTCCTTCCTCTGACTTATCTCCAGGGCATTTTGTGAAAATAAAACAGTGGCTACCAAGAGACAGCTGCTGAGAAGGCTTAAAAACAAAAACAGAGTGATAAAACAAATACGACTATAACTACAAATATGACATACAAGTTAACAGTCAAATAAATTGACAGTAGCTGAACTCATCCTCTGCTGCCTACTAATTTTGCTCCCCAGGACTCGGCTCATTTGCTGCAGGCCTTTGCATAGTAGCAAAATCGGGATTCGTTATGGAAAGAGATACAGTGCAACTGGGTGGTTTTCTAGGCTCCCAAAGCATCTAGTGTTTTGACTTGCATTAGACAAGTTAGTAACGTGGTCTGCATCTTTATTTGTAGGATTACATACCTGATAGAACAAACGAGGGCAAAGCAAAAAGTACAAAAAGGTAAAACCTATTGCTGTCTAATTGTTGCCTAATGATCAGCAGAAGCTCTTGCTGCCCTGCTGATTGCTAGCATGCTATAATGCAAATGTACACCCAAGAACAATCTCAAATTATTTCCCCCCTGAAATTATAGTAGTTGAGTGTATGAAAGAAAACCTATTGCATTAACACACTCAACCGCCCCACTGCAGCTGCCACACATGTGCCGTGTCTGTGAGCTACTGGCAGTGGATTTGGGATTCACACAACCACAGCTGCTGGTTGAACCAAACTGGGATGCTCTGGATGCAGCCCCTGCTTGTGCAAAATGGCAGCTGGATCCAATGGTTTTGTCATTTTGAGATGGCAGTGTATAGTTGTGTCCAGTCTCTCCTATTGAAAGCTGTTGGTTTTGCACTCAGGCCCAAGCCAGCACCTGGCATGCTTGGGTAAATACTGGGAGTCCCCAACACTAATGTCAGGATTTTTAATTTAATGGGGGCCGAGATTTAGGATTCAGTATTGAAGAGAGAAGCACAGGCTTAGGTGTTGTAGAAGTAGTCACTCTCATTCCCAACTGATTCCTCTGAATGTAGCAATGCTATATTG